ACGTGCGGCCCAGGTGAAAGCAGCCAGACACAGAGGCTGTACCCTCCTCCATGGCTCCACCTGGGATTTTGAGGGGTCACCAAGGCACAAAGATACACTGCCGATGGATGGCTAGCCTCCGGTGGGGGCAGACTTAGATCACCAGTAGGCACAGGGATCCTCTTGACACAGACCCTAGAAGTGTTTTAGGGTGGATCTAGGTGGCAGACTGGGTATTTATTAAGCATCCTACAAGTCGGGCAGGTGAGATGGCTCAGCAGGTGTTTGCTGCCAAGCGTGGTGACCTGAGTTTGAGCCTTGAAACCCCCGTTGTAGGAGGAGGTTGACTCCCATGGGTTGTCTGCTCACCCCCATACACACTCCGTAACATGCACACGAGTTTGTACACACACACATACAATAAGTAAAAGATGAAAATAGTTTTAAAAAAAGCCTTCCGACCTGCGTTTCCAGGGCTAAGAGGCTGTAGCTCAAAAAGCTGCGAAGAAAAGGAGTTGATGAGAAACACGCATGCAGTGGCAGGATAATCGACTTAAATTGACCCACCACGCATAGTTACAGTCAAAACAAGTTGTCCACACACTTCAGTTAAAAGAGAACAGGGAAGCAAGGTTCAACTGTGTGCTGTGAGCCAGAAACTCACCCAGGTAGGGAACACAGATACTTAGACAGTGGACCCCAACCCAGACACCAGCCAAGAGAGACTTGCAGCAAGCTGGTCGGGCTTTAAATTGAAATAGGCAGAAGAACCAAGGCTGTGACAGGTGTCAAGAGAAAAAGCTTCATAATGATGGGTCCCCTCACCACGGAGGCACAGCACCCCCTGCTCATGTGTGTAACTGGGCTAGGAACAGGCAGCGTCATAGGCAGGGTCAGGATAAAGTTTTGAGAGTTCTGCATTCCCACCGCAGCAACTTCTGGGAAAATGAAACAGGAACTCAGGAGTACTGACTCTGGGAAAATCTAAGTGGCCCTGCTACTCGTCCCGATCCAGTGACCATTCACCTGTTAGGTCTTCCAGGAACAACACAGGTGCATTCTGCTCAGATGTCCACAGACGACTCAAAGGTACATTGCACACTGGGTCGTCAAGCAAAGATGAACAAATCTAGGGCGAACAGAGCTGTTTCTGTGTGCGGTTTCTAGCCACTGAAGAATTAAGCCAGAGTCAATAGCTGGCAGGCGCCTGACATCTCTCAACTCAGAAATAAGCAACACGGACGTAAACAAATTGCAGATCAGGGAACAGGCATCCAGGGAAATTAAAAGGCCGTGTGAATGGGGAGAAAATTAGAGCAGGTGTGTGAGTAGCTATGAGATGCGGTTATGTCAGTGCCCAGAGAGACCTCAGGTGCTGCCAAGCTCCCTCGGAAAGAATTCAGGTCACCCACGCCAGCCCATAATGCTGGCAAAGGATCAAGGAAGCCCAGACCACATGCTGTTTCTGCGAGGGGTCAGGTGGGGCAGACGAAGAGAGGCTCCCAATAACTCAGACCGATGGCCTTGTCACACCATAGTGAACCATTAGGGATGATTTGGAAGCCGAGACCTTTGTGTAGAGATCAGCCTGAAGCAATTGCCATACCTCACAGGAGAGCTACAACTTGGAAACTTTTTCTTTTTGAAAACATCATTTTGTTATTTTTAAGCATATGCTCCTGTGCATGGGTTTCAGAGAGGACCCTGGATACCCTGGAACTGGGGTGTTTTCAAGGCACTGATGTAGATGCTGGGAACAGAACCCTGGTCCTTTGAAAGAGCAGCCAGTGTTCTTCACCACTGAGCCGTCTCTTCAGCTCCAAAGAAATCTGAAACTTCTAAAGGAAAACGCAGATGTCCTTAGAGGTACGGAGACTGCAAAGCACAGACTGCTCATCAAAGAAATGATCAATAAATTGGATGCCATCAGCTAAATCAGTGTCAGAAGGACTCCATGAGAAACAGAGAGAAGTGGCTAGGGGCCAATTAGGGGACACTATCGACACGTAGAGACATGTGACAGCATTCTCTCCCCTGCCCCCCAGTCTACAGAAAGGAGCCTTACATTCAAGAGCCGGGCAAACAGCCCAGTGAGAAAGGCAGACTGTTTGGTGAAACTCCTACCAAACGCTGACGTACTGAGCCCACTTAGCACACTTACCGGCATGTCCAACGCCCTTGCTCACGAGGGCAACGAGAGTTAAAACAAAAAACGGAGACAAGGCCTTCCACATGCGGCAAGGTGCCTAAAAGTGAGAGAGAACGACCTAAGCTTTGGCAAGGTGGAGGGGAGCTTGAAACGTCACACACACATGAGGCGATGGGAGCTCGTGGGACGGCGGAGCTCATGGCTTTCCTTGATGGATGTTAGAACGTGTACAAGACTCCCCTAGCTGCGCCGCCAAGATATGCACTTAATTATGACACATATCAAACATTATATATCAAAATTTTGTCTCTAAAAGGCTTTTTTTTAAAAAATTTTTTTTAGTAATTCTGGCCCAGCAAGGGGCTCAGTAGGTAAAGGTGCTTGCTGACAGGCCGGGCAACAGGAATTCCAGCCCCAAACCCACAAGGTGGAGGAGAGTGGAATCCCATACACTGTTCCCTGTGTGGAAGGAGCACCCGTACACTCACTGTCGGGGGCTGGCAGACTGGATTGCTCTCCATTTGGGTCCATGCTCCGGGGCTCACAGGCTGAAAAGTCCACGCTTCTCCATTTCCCGTCTCTGCCCGTTTCTGTCACGGCTCCTCCTACATCCAGCGCTCCGCTGTGTTCTGACGATGCTCCTTTTGTAATTAGCCCCGGCATCTTCCTTCTCTGCCCCAAGAAGCACGCTGCCTGCCCTCGATTCTGTGTTGGTTTATGTAAGCTGTTTCTTGTTTCTGTATCCCGTGAAGGTCCCTCCGGGTCCTGATGGGCCCAGACTGACTTTGTAACAGGATTTGGCAGTCTTTTGAGTGTTCAGTAACGGTGTTGCAGCTCCCCACTCCTCGTTCTCCCTCCGTGTGCTTTATAATTCCCTCCCGTAAATGTCTTGTTCATATTTTGGAAAAATTTCATTTTAAGGCATTTCAGGTTTTTAATTTTATTATAGCTAGGACTGTTCTCGTTCATTACTTTTTAAATTGGTGGTATACGGAAATGAGTTCAAAAACACAAATTCTGTACCTGGTGGGTTTTGCTTGCCTTAGGAAGAGACTGATAAGCAGGGTTTCCTGTCTGTGTGTGCCTTGGGCTGCGTGGGGTTATGTGGGTAATGTGGTTAGGGCTGTGTGTGGGTTGTATGTGTGGGCCTTAGGTGAACATCTGGGGCTGTGTTTGGGGTATGTGTGCATGCATGGGACTGCGTGGGGAGAATATACATGCATGCACAGGGCTGTGTGTGGGGTATGTGTGTGCTGTGTGTTTGCATTTGTGAAACTATGTGTGGTATATGCTCACACAAGGGCCTATGTATGGAGTATGTATGTGTGCTTGGGGCTGCACCTGGCTGTATGTGTTCATGCACAGGGCCGTGGACCCTTCCCCCTGCCCCCACAGCCCCTGTGGCTAAAAATGAGAAACCACTCTCCTTGGGTGCCCTGGCGGGGAGTGAAGGATTGAGATGGGATGGTGGGTGGGGGTGTTCTTTGTTTAACCACTCCCCTTCTGGTGAGCGAGGTCCTTCCTCCTGTCCTAGCCGGAGTCCAGGAGTTCCTCACTGATCACAGTCACAAGGCTCTGACTTTCTGGCCTCACCCCGAGCAACTGTAACTTTGCCTTTACCCACATACTCGCTCCATTCTTTGACAAAATGCTCATCTTTTGCGATTTCATCTTTCTGCTGGCTGTCAGCAAGCTGGGAGGATTCCCAATTGCCACACCCCTGCCTGAACGCTGAGGTCTCTCCTTTTAGCTCAGCCTCGCTCAGGATTTGGAGATGCAGGAAGAAGACTCACACTCTTTTCCAGAATGCAACGTGCATGGTTGGTGGCCTGCCCCTCAAGGCAGCTCTTGCCCCCTCAGAGCCACAGGGTGTGGCCTTCGCCTTTTGTAGCATTGGGGCATTCTGGCCTTCTGACCGGCTGCTGGAATGGCTCATTAAGTTCTGATAATAGCATTTTAGAGCTTCTCTGACTTCTAGGTCCAAACGCTTCCAAATTCCTCTGTGAACTGGTTCATCGGGCCTAAGAGTAGCACAGTCAGGTGGTCACAGCCAGGACCTTTATCCCCAGCAATAACTCTCTGTTTCAGTTTACTCTCTTGGGTCGGTGTTGACTAAATGCATAGTTGATATAAATCATATGTTGATTTATAGTTTGAGGGTTGGGCTGGTTGGTTTTATGTCAACTTGATACAAGCTAGGAAGGAAATTCTGCTGAGAAAATGCCTCCATGAGATCTGGCTGTAGGACATTTTTTTAGTGATCAGTGGGGGAGGGCCCAGCCCACTGTGGGTGGGGCCATCTGTGGGCTGGTGGTCCTGGGTTCTATAAGAAAGCAGGCTGAGCAAACCGTGAGGAACAAGCCAGGAAGCAGCACCCCTCCATGGCCTCCGCATCAGCTCCTGCCTCCAGGTTCCTGCCCTGCGTGAGTTCCTGTCCTGACTTCCTTCAGTGATGGACTGTGGGATGGAAGCATAAGCCTATTTCGATTTATTTAATCCTTCCTCCCCAGCCAGCTTTTGGTCACGCTGTTTATTACAGCAATAGTGACCCTGGCAGGAAGACGCGGCGGCAGGAGAGATTCATGGCTGCAGGAGAAATTCATGGCTGCTTACTCATATCTGGGTCAATCCACAAACAAACAACAACAAACAAGCAAATCCGCCCCCACCTCCCACCCCTTCCACTACCCGCCGCCACCTGAGATCAGGCAGCAGGTGAGGCTCCCAGCAACCCACTTCCTCCAGCTAGACGCCGCCTCCAGCTTCCCCAGACAGAGCTACCAGCTGGGACTGAGCGTGTGGACACTGGAGCACACGGGGGGGGGGGGGGGCTCTGCACACCCCCGCCCTAACAGCCGCTCTTGTCTTACAGTATCCGCAGCGTGATGCAGAGGCATCTTGCAGAGAGAAACGAAATAACCTTTGACAAGATTTTCAACCAGAAAATCGGTGAGTCCTGCTTCCCTCCCCTCCCCGCTACTGTCATGGCCACTCCCAGGTAAGGGGCGTTTGGGGAGGTTTCCAGAGTTGCCTCTCCCAAACAGAGGGAGACGACTCAAGAGGTTTCTACCTGTCCACATGGGAGGGATGGTTCTGTGTTTCAGAAAGACCCGTCACCCTCACTCGTAGCCACTCCTGTCCTCGTCCGGAACCCACCCAGAAGTGCCAGGCTTGCTGTTTGTGTCTGAGCTTTTGACTCTCCAGTTATTTCTTAGAGAGGGAGAATGGCCCAGCACGGAGCCTGTGATCTCTGCGTCTGGGCTCCTTCGCTGACAGCAGGCTTTCATTTCATCTGCTGCTACGTACGTTGTTAGCACTCCATTCGCTTGCAATGGTATCCGTGGACTTGCCACACTTTGTTTATTCATTCACATACGAGGCGACAGACGGCTGGATTGTCGCTTCTTTGTGTCCGAACAAAGTTGCTGTGACCAGTGAATAGCTATAAACCTTTCTGTGTGTCTCTCTCGGTCTCTCTGTCTGTCTCCATCTCTGCCCTCCCACCCCCGTGTGTGTGTGTGTGTGTGTGTGTGTGTGTGTGTGTGTGTGTGTGTG